AAAATGCAGAAATTACAAAACCGTTCGGCTAGGGTTTTAACATTTTCCGGCTATGATACTAATGCTGATGGTCTTCTTCAAGACCTTGGATGGGAAAACCTTGAAACACAGCGCCAAATTCATCAGGCTATTATGGTCTATAAGTCGATAAATGGTTTGGCTCCTGAATATCTTCGTTCAAAATTTGGTGATCGTTGCTGTGTTTCGGGTTATTCTCTTAGGGACACTGTTGGCAAACTTGCTGTTCCTTTTCCTCGTACTAACTACCTAAGAAACTCCTTTAGTTATAGTGGTGCAGTAACATGGAACAGCCTTCCTGTTGAGTTGAGGCAAGCTAATTCTTTAAATTCGTTTCGATCTGGCTGTAATAAATTTCTCTCTTCTCGATCGTAATACCTAATTAATGCACGGCACTCATGTAAAGCAGGTTTTTCTTTTGTCATTTCTTAGTATGAATTTATATATTGTGTTATTTATATTGTAAGTAGTGTGTTATTAGTTTTATGCATAATTTTGTAGATTTATTTATATATATAGCTATATGTACGTATGTAATCTTAATCCTGATGAGTACACCGTGGATAAATAAAGTTACCTTACCTTACCTTACCTTACTAAAAATCCGGAAAAAATCCGCGGATTTTTAAAAAATCCGAAAATCCCGTACGCTTCGTCAAAAAATCCGGAAAAAATCCGAACAAATCCGGAAAATCCAAACAAATCCGGAAAATCCAACAGATTTTCTCTTCAAAAATCCGCTAAAGTTGGCCGGGAAAAATCCGCTAAAAAATCCGCGGATTTTTAAAAATCCGCAAATCCCGTACGCTTTTTTGGAGTGAAATGCCCCTCGTATAAGCCCTGGGCTTATAACTTTCGTAAGCGATTTTTGATGGGCTTATACAAGGGGAGGGGTTATATACGGGGGGCTAATACATAGATGATCTTTTGTGTTAGTAATAAACAAATCAGACATAAACAAGTCAGTCATAAACAGGAAAATAACGTGCTTTGATTAACGTAACATGTAGTCGGCTATAAAGACAATGAAAATGTTTTTAAATATCGTTCTCTGCTATATTAAAAGACAATGAAAATGTTGAATAACGTAGTGGGCTACTGGGCTTATATTCGGGGGACTTATATTTGGGGGGCTTATATTTGGGTGGGCTTATGTTCGGGGGGAGGGGCTTATATTTGGAATGAATTGAGCGTTAGTATATGTGGTGGGCTTATCTTCCGGGGGGCTTATATTCGGGGGGAGCTTATAGTCGGGGGGCTTATAGTCGGACGGTTTACGGTATAATGACAGAGATAATTTTACCTATCATTGGGCTATCGATGGGAGAGTCCTGAGTATTAATATTTAAGAGTGAAAATATTGATTATGATATAATGTCAAATTTCTCAACCATGTCAGAAGATACACTAAACCTAATTAAGTTCTTATTGCAACAGATTCTCATTTTAAAGTAGAATAATTGCCACATGTAGTGTTAAGGTGAGATATTACATCTCTTATCCATCTGCGACAAATGACCCATTTGACACAGTTAACACTATAATGGGGGTAATTTTTCTTTCTTAAAATGGCAACGTATCGATATGATTTTTCAATGGCAAAATGCAATTGGACTGTACGGGCCAGTCTGTACCAGTGACTAATTATATAGTTCTGCTAGGTGACACTTGCTCGATGGCTTCCCTGTTAGATACCGTACTCCTTTTGAAAAATATTAATTGCTACATGTAGTGTTAAGGTGAGATGGCACATCTCTTATCCTATCATTGCATGTGACCAATGCTTATTTGTCTCAACAAAGAGATGGTTTGCGCTCTAGCTAGATATCTCAGTGACATTTAGATAACGAGTAGCGTAAAGCCAATCAGAATACAACATTTAACTCTTGTTCAAGCATTAGAACTTGACAACATTTAAAATTACTAAATATATATACTGTATAGACTAATGTGAAAATGAATACTTTTAGGATGACGGACAATGGCCATTGATGAAGAAGTGAGGAAATCAACCTATCCTTGAATCTTGGCATCAGGTGACATTGCATCCTTGGACCCATTGTACATTGCTGCCGTGGGGCAAATTTAGTTGCGTTTTGCTGGTAAAAATATTCCACATACTTATTGCCACATTCCATGTTCTAAATATGGAATACACTCCAGGTGTTTCGAGTGTTTATGCATTTCTAGAATCTAGAACCTTAAACCGCCCTGCTGATGCCGAGAACAACATTTCTGTACAACAACTCTTTGGACTCCGAAAATTAATCGTGATAAATTCTTAGTTCATATAAATTCATGCATGTTAAAGGTATTTCTTGTCAGCGAGTAATTTATAATAATAACCAATTTGAACCTATATTTCTCTTTTGTGTGTGTCTTAATGTGCCTGGTTGAAAGCGTTAAATCAACACCTTAAAATCTGGTGTTATTTTAGCACCAGATAGGAAGAAGTGTTGCTTTGGCACTGCCAAATCAGGTGTTATTTTAACGCCACACTATAGGTGTTAAAACAACTCTTAAAACTGGTGTCACTTTAGCACTTAAAAGTGATGTTAGTTTAACACTATAAACAGGTGTTAAATTAACCCCCAAAACTGGTGCTAATTTAACACTAAAAATGGGTGTTGTTTTAACACCATATCTAGTGTTATTTTAACACTTTTTTAGTGGTGTTAAAATAGCACCAAAAAGTAGTGTCATTTTTTCCCTAATTTTTTAACACCACTTTTTGGTGTTATTTTAACACCCTAAAATTAAAAGTGAACGAGCTAGCAACGCCAACCCACACTTTTAAACTTCAACGTTGATTGGCTGGATACAAATCACACCACTTGTTACATCACGTGTAGAAAGATCCCTCAACCGTTAGTATAAAAGGGCGTGTACAACCCAAATTCGTCAGTGGACTCAACGAAGTAAAAATTATGTATGAAAAGTTGTAGAAAGCTCAAACGAAACAAGACAAAACGACAAAGAATACGAACTGAAAACAACGAAGAAAGGCTGAAGGAAGAAGATAACTTTGAAAAGGGACGATTTTAATATTAACATTATAGTGACACTAATTAGGAACATTGTAAACGATTCCCTACCTCGCGTAGAAAAAAGAAATAAAAATATACATTTCTAACAAATGTTTCAATAACGATTGTCGATTTCTAGCATTTCTAAACATTTTCATATAAGCGCCTAGCTTCGACAATTCTGATGTCAGACCTCCAGGGCAGTAATAATCTGCTCCTTTTCCAGAGACATTAAAATATTCCGTTCAGTGGTCATAAGTAGCAATGCTTCAAGTTTTTCTTGAGACATAGACGAACGTGTGCGGGTTTGATTGGAATTGCAACTGCGATCGCGTAAACTTTACAAAGAGTTGGAAATGCATCAACTAGGTGGTAATCAGGATTCAACAAAATTCTCAGAGCTTCTAGAAATGATGGTTTATCCTTGTCCTTTGGTTCTTCAGCAGTTCTGTCGTCGCTTGACTCGCTGTCGGTTTCTTCTTCGTGGTCTTTGGTTTCAGATTCAGAACCGGAGTCTAAATCAGAATCTTTCTCTTCTTCTTTGTCTTCATCAAAAATCACTGAACACTTCAATTTTTGAAAAGATTCTGCAAAGTTGAGCAGTTCATCTCCACATCGGTGCGAGTCGATGTCAGTGGTACACCATGCATTTTAAGGTTTCCTTGCCTGGCTGCCAAAAGGGCGCGCGTTTCAGCATTATCTTACTACTTACATTACTCAATGAGTCATGATGTTTCTTGTGCAAACAACTAAATCGCGTACACAACTTTACATTATCATAACTATCTAATTTGCGCCGCTCTCGTGATTCGTGAAGCATAATAAAGCCTGACCAATATTCCGGTAATGCGACATTGCGTGTGATCACTGACCATGTTTCTATATGAACGATTTCGTGTGAGGTCACAATACTGGCTGGTTAGACAAAATAGTCTGTAATTTAATATATCACTTTGTCGCCTATGCGCTCAGTCTGTTTATAAGCCTATATATATAAACACATTTTTTCTTGGTGGAAGTAACTATATTTTTTCAAATGCGTTTTTTCCCACCCACTTTCAAAATTCGGCGCAGGGTCGGCGCCCCCTTTTCATTTTTGCGCCCCCCCCCCCAAGAATTGCCAGCTGGGGATGGCCCCCCGCCCCCCCCTGCCAGCACGCCACTGCAAGGAAGCATCGACGGTGAAATTTGGGAGCGCGGTAATGGGGAGCAAATTGAAATCCCGGATGAACACCGGCACAATTCTTGGGTTACACACGTAAAAAACAAGAGTCACAAAACTGGGTGTTTTATATGTTTTGCAATTTGCATGTCATTACCACAAACATTCCCCCCAAATTTTGAATTCGAATTATTAAATCTTCTCGCTCTCGTTTCTTTTGTCTCGCAAAGCAGTGTGACCAAATTTTACTAAATTAAGAAAAATTTTACCAAATGTCGGCTTCCCAAATAATTACGTCATGATAATGCAAAAAAACAATAGTTACGTCATCAAAGTAGAAAAAATATTCACAAAAAGTGTCTCGAAATACTTGTTGCTTTCATCGTATTGCAGTTTTTGCTAATGATAAGGCTTTATTTCTTAGGCTTGGCATGCAGTTCTGTTCATCACTTTGAGCACGTTATTAAACAAGAAACACACATTTTTACCAACTATTTTTAATAATTCAAACCTTTCAGATTTTACCAAAATTTTACCAAAAGAAACTCATTACCAAATTTTCTTGAAAATTCACGAAATTTTACCAAAAGTAAAACTTTTTACCAAATCTGGTCACACTGTCGCAAAGAGCCTCTGGAACCAGGGTACAGAAATACAAAACAAGTTACAGAAGCGGAAGTGGGAAGGTTCTTGTCAGAGACTTGGCCTTTACGTCAACGATGCCCAAGCGCCCACCCTAACCTGCGAATGGGCATACTCTGCGAGTCTGCGTAGTGCGTCGTACGAGATGACAGATTGTATTCTTATAAACATGGAGGGATGCGGAAGAAGATTGAGAGATGACCCCAGTTATAAAGCTTTGCAAGAACATTACCAAACAGTTGGGTCGAAGATTCATATGAGAAAGTTGTTTGAAGAGGATGAGAAGCGCTTTGAAAAATTCAGGTTTGTTTAATAATTTCAGCTTTGCTTTAAACGTTTGAAAGCTAGTCTGGAGTTTATATAGATTTTAATTGCATGCAGACTTGTAGTTATGTAACTACATATTAATACCATAAATGGTGCTATTAGAAATTTGAATCTTTAAAAGTTTATAATTTTCTTGAAGAAACACATTCCATGACAAAACCCTGTGCACACAAAGTGATAAGTGCCTGTAATTTTATGTGATAGCCTTTTCATAGCGTTTTAGGCTATGATTCATAGCGTTTTAGGTTATGATTTCTCTATTTGACAATAGAGAGGTTAAGATACACCTGTTCCAGTTTATGGGTACAGGTGATGTACCCGTACCCGTAAACCGAGGAACGACTTGTAACATAAGAAATCCAAGATATTCCGGCGTGAGTAAACCTATCAGAGAATGGCAACTTTCGCTGTCGAGGTTCGCCATAGATTGTTGAAAACTTTGACAAGCACAAGCGCATTATTTATTTGGGTAAGATGTTGAAAATTTTTACTATTTAACAGCCCACATATAGTAAACAGAAAACACCTGTACCCATTTGTCTTTTATGTGTAGACCATGGTTTACCACGGTTGGCTCGGCAAAGCGGGCTGAAAACCACACTTATGCATGTTTTAATTTCGATTATATGTACAAATATAAGTTAAAAAAACTTCAAATAACATCAAAATGACATTAATGTCTATAGTGAACGTTTTCGAGGTTTAGATAGGAAGCGACACAATTTTGTTAGAATATACAAACAGTATAAGCCTGTTGGGAGTATAAATACCTCAACCAAGAACATTCAGTGGGTAAAGTAGTCTTCAAATACAACAAATACACCATTTTTAATCGATTTCTAACACCGAGTATTAAATTGTTAAGCATGATTACAAATCTTAATGAGCTTCTGTGCGTGTAATGTGCGCGGTGCATGTAATCGCAATTCAAAAGTTAACTCTCTTAGCCAGGACAACTCGGCAAAGCGAGACAACTCGGCCCATGTAATCAGCCCCTTAATACTAGAAAATACATGCATGCAGAAACCCTCGCCTTGCTGACAAAACCATTATGTTTTCCAAACATGAAGTATTGTTATGGTAACACAATAATTTTAAGAATAGTTTTAAAATTGAAAAATCCCCCCAAATATTACTTTTAATTACAAAATGATCAATATGATCATATGAAAATGATCAAAATGATCAAAAATGATCAAAATGATTACCGTATATATATGCTAGGTATGTTATTATATGTAATATGAGCTTCAATTTAATGTAAAATTCAACCACAAATGCAGTTTGCAAAACGTTTTAAAATGTTCTTAAAACTAAACTGCCTTTTATCGGAAAACATTGAGTTTGATAAACTGATTAATAAACTGATTTCAAATTCTTGCATGAAAATAACTTTGCTTTTCTTTTTGTTTATAAATATTTTAATATACAAAAAAGAGTAATTAATAAAAATACATCGACATTAATATATTTTCACTTATATATGAAATACGTATCAGTTTTTAAAGCATTGCAATTATAAAGATAGTGAATATTAAAAACAAACTTATCTTAGTTCAAGGCTGGCGAGAGGGGGGAGGGCAGGGGGGCAAAATACCCGGTGCCCGGAGTGCTCAGAGGGGCCCGGAAATCTCGGTAAAATGTTTGTATATTGTTTATCATCGGCAATTTCCAGAGGGACAGGGGCCCGTGTTCACAAATCGTCATTTTGTCCCGAGGCCCGTAGTTGACTCTTGCCGGCCTTGCCTTAGTTCATTAACGTTGGTGACTTTGCTCCCTTTTTGACGTTTTTAGACGGTCTTTGGCTCTCAAAAAGGTTTTGCTGATTTGCAAGAAATGTTTGCTATTTTTATGTCTTCATTTGTCATACAACAACAAATTTTAAACTTGTCCAATCAGTGTTCGCTATTCATGACAGTCCGCCACATATTTTGAGATCAGTGAGGATGACCACCCACTCAACACCATTGGTCATCCACGCCCGCGATCATTGATGAACTTTAGACTTCGCTAATGCTTTTGTTTCCCTGGGTGTAAATAGCCGGGCGGAATTAGTACCCTTGCCCCGGGCTTACACCCATTGGCTTGGGGACTATTATCCCCGAGCCAACAGCACAGAGCGCCGTTCCGGCCGTTAGCCCGGGGCGAAGGTACTAAATTCCGACTGGCTATTTACACCCGGAGAAAGGAAAGCATTAGCGAAGTCTAAAGTTCGTCAACTGATCTCAAAAATATGGCTGTTTGCTACTTGCTAGGAGTGGGATAAGCAAGATTTCAATTTTCAAAAGCATATATTTGGAAAATCACGTTTCACACAATGAGCTTTGAAGCAATTTTTGTTTGAAGAAATGAGAAGAATTGATTTAATATGGGAAATTTCTTTAAACTGTGGTGAAATATAGTGCAAGTTTGCTTTGAATGTTTAATGTTTATGAATTGTGTTGCTTTTAATATTAGTTTCTTGCGTATGAAAAGTACATGCAGCTTTCCTTTTCAGTCAAGCTGTAAGTTTCCTAAATTACCCTGTTTAATTTAAGAGAAAAGAGGTAAAATGTAAAGGAGAGCAAATTAATTTGAAGACCTAACTGAAATTACTCCACAATTTGAACTTATTAAGTATTAGAAACAGTTCATCGGCAAAAGACGACAAAAGCAGTTTAGTTATTAAAGTGAACATTTCAAAACATTTTACGAAGCAATTCAGTTTAAATTTTACATTAAATCAAAGCTCACCAAATGCTATTTGACAATTATACTTATAGTCGAGACGTTCAAGATTCTTTTTCGTTCAATTATAGTTCACGTTCGTTACAAGACGTTCTTTGACCACAAATGTTCCACACTTTGTTGTGAAGTTCGCAAGTCTGTTGCGAAGTTCAAAAGTTCATAATGAGATTCACAAACCAATTTGTAAACTATGCATTTGATTGGCTTCTTTTACTAAAGTGACCAATCAGGGACTTTGTTTACATATTGGCTTGTGAATTCCAATATGAACTTTTGAGTTTGAACTTTGCAACAAACTTGCGAACTTTGCAACAAAGTTCGGAACGTTTGTGGTCAAAGTTTCGTGAAATCGACTGTAATGTCCAAAGTAACTATCGTAGTACAGCTTTTGTATCATAAATATGAAAGTCAAAATACGACTCAATATTGATCGACGTTATCGAGTAATAACGTTGATTCGACGTTATTTGTGGCAACGTGAATATGGACGTGGCCCCTTAATTGATATTGATGACCAATCACCAAACGTTTATATGGCCAATTTTATTGATTATTAATATCGACATTCATTGATTTTCGTCAATATTTATGCATTGTTACCAATTTTTTGAAGGTACACATGTACAGTGGTATTTGTTCTGTATTCTTGACTTGCAATCAATCCTTTAAGAATTTGAAGACAAATATGGCACAGCGGCCATGTTGGTGCCAAATTCAATACGTTATAAATTTTATGCCAGTTCTCATGCTTTTTAGTTTGTCTCTGGCTACATCTGATGGGGAATTACTGCTGGATTACTCGAAAAATATAGTTACCGAGGAAACAATGAAACTTCTTTTTGATCTGGTAGGTGTTCTTTGTAGTATTTTAAGCCCATTCTGTTGTATTTTCAGTTGTGTACAGTATGCTGCTATAATATTTACTGGGTACAATATTGAAGACTGAATAAACGCAAATTATTATTACAAATTTTTGAAAAGTTGAAATTGTTACAAAACAAGATTCAAGTTCACAAATCTAAGAATTATGCTAATTGTATGATAAAAAAATGTATAAAAACTAATTGGTAACAACCAATCCACCAGCTTATGGTCTTTGTGACTGTGGCTATAAACGAATTATAGACTGGTTCTGATTAGTGCGCGATAGAGGTACAGTAGGACCCTACTACCTGCATGTGGCTCGCTGATATATAAATGTACAGTACCGTCCAACGGAAACTATACATCGAGTTTCGAGCGCGTTTCGCGTTCGAGCGAGTATCGAGCGAGAGTACAGGCCTCGAAATAAGTGCCGGTCACCGGTCACTGACCGGTAAAATTTCACAGTTTGACCGGCAAATATCGTCGCCTGGCGGACATGCGTGACCGGTAAATTTTTTAATAAAAAGTACGTTCAAAAATGGAAGATTGTTGATTTCCAAGTTTCCAAAGAAGTGTTTGTCCTTCTAGGGCGCAGGCTAATAAGGGCGGCGAAGTGACACATTTTGTCGTACGGATACGATATACCGCAAGCATTGGGCCTAAAGGCTGATTTCCACTGTTGCGTTTTAGATACGCCAAAGATGCAGGAAAAGATAACTTGTGTTGTTTTGTGTTTTTTAATATAAATTTCACGTTATGTCTTAAGTTTGTTTAACAGCGTGATTACAAGCACGAGTAACCTTTTTCCACTGCGCATGTGTGCGAAAGCATTACGTAATGTTAACTGAATGATTCTTATATGAAGTTCGACGCGTGTGCATTCCGCCGACCTTGATTCATCAACAAAGCATTAACACAGACATAAATTTACATATGCATGCATTTACAGTACTATTCCTTTGTAATGTCAGTTTGTTGTTCTTTGGGCAACAATAAACAAACCTTTACTATGGGTCTGACACAAGTTCCTTGCTTAGTCTGCAGAGTTACTACACGCACTAACTTGTCAGGACCAGGTTTAACTTTTATTACTCTCGCGAGAGGCCATTTGCACGGCAATAAACGATCATCTTTGACCACGGCAATATGTCCAACAGATAAGTTCCTTCTCTCATGTTTCCACTTGTTGAAACGTTGTAAATAGTTCAAATATTCGGTATACCATTTTTTCCAAAAATGTTGAACTAGGGCTTGACATAAGTACCAACGTTTTAGTACTTCCATCGGTTTATTAACTGTATCGGGATGATCTGGAAGAGATTCCAATGGTCTACCAATTAAAAAATGACCAGGAGTTAACGGAGCAATCCACTGTCGATAGAAGCAGCAATTGGTCTAGAGTTCAAGCAGGCTTCGATTTGGCATAGACACGTAGTTAGTTCTTCAAAGTTCAGTTTGGTTTCACCAACAATCCTCTTGAGATGATACTTGCATGCCTTGAGACCGTTTTCCCATACTGAGCCATGATGAGGGCAGGCAGGCAGGCAGGCAGGCAGGCAGGCAGGCAGGCAGGCAGGCAGGCAGGCAGGCAGGCAGGCAGGCAGGCAATACTCTATTTAAAATTAACAAAAAGGAACACGCTAGCCCCATCAACTCTGGGCTGATTTCCATGAGGGGCGTGTTAAATATTAAAAATGTTTGAAAGTAAATAAATAAATAAATAAATAAATAAATAACTATATCTAAATACTATATATACACACTTTTCTATATACAAATGTATGCATGTCACTATCCAACATTTAATCTAAACGAATGAAGCGAACTTGCTAGTTTCGCTTCATTTGGGAGCTGATTCCAGTGCAAAGCACCACTATATTTAAAGCTTTTTTTTTTAAATTCTCTTTTTGGCTTAGGTAATGTAAGGTCTGTTGCAGTATATTGCGGAGATTGTAATTAGTTTGATCCATTTCTCTTCCCACAAAAGACCCCCGAAGAGCCGGCGCAGTGTGGTCATTAAGTATTTTATACATCAATACTGACTTGGCACCGTAACGTCTATTTTCAAGAGTGTCCCACGAGAGTGAGTTAAGAACATCAGCCGACCGAGCTTCATAATTAGCACCCGTTACAACCCTCGCCGTGCTGCCCGGGATTGAAATTTTTGAAGCTTATCTCTTAACAACTTGCCACAAGTGTCCCACAAAGAGGAACAATAATCAAAGTATGGCTGTACCAAGCTTTTATAAACAGATTCTAATGTATGCATCGGAACAAAAGGTTTCCTACGTCTCATAACGCCAATAGCTGCACTTACTTTCTTGCATATCAATGTAATATGACTGTCCCAATTCAAATTTTCATCGAGTTTTACTCCCAGACACATTTGTGTACTGATTCCTGGTATGGGTTTTGCATTTACCATAATAGGCTCTTCACACCCTAATTTATTAAGATTCTGCGTGGAGCCAACAAACATCATTTTTACATTTAGATGGATGCATCTGCAATCTATTTTCTTTCATCCATTCAAAAACATGAGCAAGGTCCGAATTTAGCTTTACAACAAGTTCATTTGCATGATAAGACGATGAAAATATTTGAGTGTCGTTCGCATACATGCAAGGAGCGGTTGATCTCAGACAATCAGGCAGGTCATTAATATATAATAAAAATAACAGGGGCCCCAGTATAGAACCCTGAGGCACTGCATAGTTAATCCTTTTTTTGTCAGACAATTTGCCATTAATACTGCATTGCTGTACTCTATTCATTAAATATGATTCGAACCATTTTAGTTCCGAGCCAAAGATTCCAAATTGTTCATTCATTTTATTCAATAAAACACGATGATTGATAGAATCGAATGCCTTTTTAATGTCTAGAAACACCATTTATTTTTCCATTGTCCATGTTTTCTAACCACTCATCACACGTTTGGATAAGGGCAGTTACTGTAACAGTTGAATGTTTTGGTCGAAAACCATGTTGAAATTTTGACAATAGAGAGTTCACAGACAAGTATGTATAAACTTGACGGAAAACTTCAAGGGCCTGTAGGAGGGCTGAGTTTCCACTATATGCCTTGTGTAGAACACAAATTGGCAATAGTCGCTTGTGTCTCAACTTCCTTTAAGTAGTCATAAAAATCCTTGAGATCTTTGTTTGCTCGAGTAAAACATGTTGCATTGTCACTTCAAATTTGACGTGGTTTTCCTCGTCTCGCCACGAATCGACGTAGTGCTGCGACGAATGCTTCAGCTGTTAAATCAGACACTAGTTCTATAGGACAGGATTTGGTTTGCAAGCAGACAAATATAGCAATGTACGCCTCTTGATAAATTGGTCTTCGTTTGGATCCGGATTTGATGAAAGAAGGACCAGCCTAATCAACTGAGACCATTTCGTTTGCGAATGATGGATTAACTCTTTCTTTTGGGAGTTGACCCATTAGCTGTGTGGAAACCTTTGGAGATGTACGCCGACAGATAACGCATTCACGAGTGCACTTTCGAACAATCCTTCTAGCACTGATAATATGATAGCGCTGTTGACGTGTTCCTAAGACCAGTTTAGGTCCTGCATGGCACAATCGTTTGTATTCATGTTTGACAAGCAAGGTGGTAAGCAACCTCCGTCGCAGGGACTTTCCACCGGCTGGGAAAGACCCTGCTATCGGCTGGTCACGTGTCTCCCAGAATCTGGGAGATAACAAACAATTTCAATCAGGGTGGGTACCTAAGTACGTTTTGTCATTGAGCAAGGAGTGAGCGAAGAAATAACCCAGAAATCATGCAGGAAATATTTACAAAATTGTATATTTTATTTGTCATGAAGACTATCAATGTTACACAACAGTAAATATCAAATTTGATTGTGCGCAGAAAGAGGTGAGCAAAGATAGATCAGATTTCAATAGACAAATTATGCCGATACAGCTCGTCGAAGAAATCAACACGTCGCAAACGTTACAAGAAAATATATTTCTACACCAGTACCGACCGATGTGGCTGTTATTTAGCTGTTGATGTCTATCCTAAAGGATTTATTTAATACTGAGATGTGTGACGAAATATATAGAGATCTTTTGATTTCTGAAATATCGCAAACTATGTTGCTTTGTAAACAATGCTACTCGGACTGCTGAAACTTCAGAACCATCCCCAGAGCTTGATGCTCAAGAAATATGTCGAAGTATGCCTCCCTGTTATCAAACCTACGGTAAAATAATCCGACAATAGCCTACTCAAAGATAAGTGAAAGACTCGTTTGTGCGTATATGTTACAAATACGAATACTGAATATGTTTGTCATTTAGGACATTTAGAGAATGCAGTCCTCATGATAAATTTGATAAATAGCTTTAATTGTGACATTAGCTTTACTTACTTTACTGTAATGAAGTACTTTGTGAAATATAATACTGAATCAAACTCTAAGACTATATAAAGTGTTAATAATATATCTGTGGTGGGTACATATGAGACATATGACTATATATGACTGCATATACATATCAGACTGAGTGTGATATCAGTGTTTATGCCGTGGTTTATGCCGTTGTTTATTCCGTGGTTTATGGAATTATCTATGACTATGTTCATATTATAAAGTGTGTACTGTATATCAGAAAAATACTGTTATAAATATTGTTGTTACCCCATTACTTAGTGCATGGAGGCCAAAAATTATTAGGCTAAAGCCGTGATTGACTGATTGTATATACCACCTGATGATACACGCCCTGGGCTGAAAATTATTGTACTTTACTACCTGCCAACCTCCTACCCCACCGATCTACAGGGTTTCTAAAAAAATATGACGAGCTATTTAATTAAAAGTATTTTCAAAGATAAACCATCGACAGTTTTAAAGTGAGCATTTAGTCTCTGTTCGGCAGTGTCCACATGTTTACATTGTGATTTGTGACAAAAAGTTAATTACATTTCAAAATTTTATCAACCTTCACTATAAAATGAGACGCGTACTATTTGTAAATCTGCCACAAAGTTTATCAACGTTTTCAAACAAGAAATCTAATGTCATATTTTCGGAACAGATAAAAGTGAAAATGTACAAACGTTGAGGACTGACCAGTTTGATATGAAAATATGTTTCAAGCGAATACCCAACTTCAAAGTTTAAAGTATACATTTTATTTGTTTCTTGACTTGACTGTTGATAAAATGCTACAGTGTTTTTGTAATTTAAAAGCAAACGGAGGTATAAAATAGAAGTTAGCGGGCGCTTCAAACTATATATCGTAAAATCCCACTCCTGGTATTTGAAATTTAACGGTTTCTGTGGAAGCATGTAATTTGATACTTTGCCACTCTTCCTTGGGCAATCAATTTTTGTAGAGTCACGTGACCAGCCGATACCAGGGTCTTTCCCAAAAAGACCCTGGGTACGAGGATGGGTGGTAAGTCGATGTTTTCCATGGGGAATTAAAGGGTGACGTGAGTAAAATTCTAGTTGTGATTGTGAAAGGCGTCCACCAACTCTCAGCAAACCCTGAGAGTCGAGAAATGGATTTAGAGATTTTAGATAGTGTTTATTGGATAGTTGTTTTCCTTTCATAAGTTCAGCGATAACTTCAGAGAACATTTCAGACTGTACTTTCTTGAACCACCATGTTTCAGCTTTGTGTAATTCATCAACCGTTAGTGGCGTTGAAGGAAATAGGTATTTTTTGGTGACTACACGGCGAATGAACGCAGTTACTATCATTAAGCGAATGAAGCTCGAGTATCGATCGATGTCGATTACAGGCCTTGGTAAAATGTTCGTTGTGTTTACCGGCATTGAGACTTCCTTTTTATCCTTTAACTTTAAATCTTCTTCTCGGATGCCAGATGTCAACACAGCTTCAAGGGGAGGAGGCAGAACTAATTTCGATTCCCAGGTTGACGGATCCAATTTTAACCAATGCGGTCCTGACCACCATAAATCATGATTAATAATATCTTTAGGGAGAATACCACGAGAACCTGCATCAGCAGGGTTGTCATTTCCTTTGACATGTTTCCATCGCTCAGGAGGTAAACTTTCCTGGATTTCAGAGACTCTATTTGTTCGAAGGTTTTCAGCCATTGACTGGTTCCATATATACAATACAATACAATACAATACAATACAATACAATACAATACAATACAATACAATACAATACAATACAATACAATACAATACAATACAATACAATGGTACTGTCCGCATAAGCATATATATCTTTGGTAGGAATTTCAAGGACAGCTTTGAGATGTTTTACAAGACGAGCTAGGAGATGGGCACCGCACAATTCAAGACGTGGTAGCGATACCTTCTTTATAGGAGCGACCTTGGTTTTGGCTTCTACGAGAGATATGTGTACACCGCCGGCCGTGTCGACACTTCTTAAATAGACCATGGCCGAATACGCTCTTTCGCTTGCATCAGAGAACCCAATCAAATTTGACAATTGATGGGAGCATAACAACGTGGGATTCTCAGTGAAGAAAGTTCAGGTAGTTGATTTCTCCACTCTTTCCAATCTCTTTCGATGTCTGCAGGAGGCGGACTGTCCCAATCAATACCTCGTTCCCACAGGCGTTGGAAGATGATCTTTACTACGATAGTAACACACGACACAAGATCGAGAGGATCGAAGATCTTGGCCGAATCTGATAATATTAAACGTTTAGTAAGTTCAGTTTCTTCAGTGGGAAAGTTGGACACCGAGAATCGGAATTGATCATGCTGCGAGTTGTAATCGATTCCAAGAGTTTTGGTAAAGTTGTCTGATTCAGGCAGATTCGCTGTAGCTGTGACACTTCGAATTTCCTTTGGAATGGCATTGAGGACTTCGGGTGAATTTGAGTCCCATTTGTGCAATTTAAAAGCACCTGTCTGAAAGAGTTGTTGTAATCGCTGGTAAAGAACTATGGCTTCTTCCTTCGTCGTGACTGAAGGAAGACCATCATCAACATAAAATGATTCTTTTACCGCTTTGGCAGCTTGAGGAAGTGCTGCTTGATTTTCTTCTGCTAGTTGCAAAATGGATTTAGTGGCTAAGAATGGGGCACTAGTTATCCCAACGGTGACTCTCGTCATTCTATATTCTTGCATCTCTTCATTTGGATTATCTCTCCAAAGAAATCGATGGAAATCCCAATCATTTGGATCTAAACCAACTGCTCGATACATCTTTGAGATGTTGGTGATGAGAACGTAGGGATGTTTACGAAATTGAATAAGCACATTCAAGGGAGGATGGACAGTAGGACCTACAAGAAGATTGTCGTTTAAGGAAACACCACTTGAGGTTTTCATTAGAGACCTTAAGATTGACGTTTACGACAAACGTCAAACCGCTAGCGAAGTTTTTGATTTTACAGCTCTATTATTGTAGCTTTTACACCAGTTTTGAAATATGTTAAACTGATTAAACTTCTGCTCTTTAGCAATGATTTAAGAAAGAAAATTAACCACTAGTCATGCCATTCACCAAAGCAGTAAATGAAGATTTGGCGTTTGAAGTTGACGTTTGAACGTATAAATTTCATGCTTTAACGACTACAAGCCCTCGTAGCAGTTCAAGCATGAAATCTATACGCCAAACGCCAACTTCAAACGCCAAATCTTAATTTACTGCTTTGGTGAATGGCATGACTAGTGGTTAATTTGCTTTCTTAAATCATTGCTAAAGAGCACAAGTTTAATAAATTTAACATATTTCAAAACTGGTGTAAAAGCTATTATAATAGAGTTGTAAAATCAAAAACTTCGCTAGCGGTTTGACGTTTGCCGTAAACGTCAATCTTAAGGTCTCTATTGACCCGTCAAACACTACTCGAACTGGAGTGGTCGTTGAAGCTTTGTGAACTGCGTGGTGAGGTAAGTAAAATGTTTCTGAAGGAGGTTTGTCAAGTTCGCTAACTGGGACCTTTTCGGCATGTCCGGACGATAAGTATTCGTTAACTACAGCTGAGTAATTATCATAGAGTTTTAGATTGTGAAGACGTCTTTTGAGACACAGGAATCTCCTTAACGCTTGAGGTCGCGACTCGCTAAGAGGAGTAACATAAGACTTAAATGGCAGTCTTACAATGAAACGTCCATCTTTGTAACGTTTGTGATGAACAGTAAAATCTTCTACTACAAGTTTTTCAACTGGTGAAAATGTTTGCTTTATATCTGGAGCTTCTTCTAAAGTCCAAAACTTTTGAAGAATTTCTTCACACGAAAGTTGTGATGTTGTAACAAACATTGTTGTGGCTTCTCTAGCAATTGTTGGTTCGTTGACTGGTTTTGGACTGGGGTTGCCAAAGAGCACCCATCCATAGATTGTGTCTTGGGCAGCAGGAGTTCCCTTTGGTCCCAATATCAAATCGGGTTTCAAGATCTCATGGTAAACATCTACACCTAGCAAGATGTCGATTGGCTTGGAAATGTTGAAGTTTGGATCTGCAAGTGACAGTGATTCCAACTGTGGCCAGTTCCCAATTGTTATGGACTGCAGAGGGAGACTTTTCGTTAATGAGGGTAAAACGATGGCATCCAAATTCTCTAATGAGGATGAATCATGAGCTGATTTTATTTTGACTTCGACCATTTTATTTTGTGTTTTTATACGTTGTGTCTCTCCAATCCCATTGATGCAAATTGATTGCCTTTGTTTTGGGCGCTCGAGCTGATTAGCTAAGCCTCTCAGTAATGAAAGAGGCTGTTGAAGCAGGATCTAATAAAACTCTTGCGACTGCTTGGTGGCCCTGAGGTCCACATGCAATTACTTTGGCTGTCATCATTAGGGCTGTGTTTGAAGATAATGAGCTTTGGATCGACAAATTAACCTGATTTTGACTTGATGTTGTGGTGGGTTTGGGGAAATAGGTTGAACTAGAGGAGGGTTGTCTGGTAGTAACTGGTAGACTTGGTGGTGATACATTGGGTGGTGGTACATTGGGTGGTGGTGCATTGGGTGAAATGAGCTGTCGATTTTCTACGTCAAGATGTAGAAGTGTATGATGCTTCTTGCCACACCTTTGACAACTGTATTGAGTCGGACACTGCTTGACTGTATGCCCACCCTTTAAACAGTTCAAACACATACCCTGAGCAAGTACAAAGTTCCGTTTTTCTGGAACAGATTTCTGCTTAAATCCTTGACAATAGGCAGTTCCATGTTTCAACTTGTTACATGCAAAACACTTGCCACTTGTGTTGGTAACATGCGATGCAACTTGTGATGGATTCTTAAACTTATTACCTTTATTATCACCAAACTGTGGTGGCCTTTTCTGTTGAACTGTTAGCTCAGTTGCTTTAGCTCTTTGGTCCGAGAAGTCCAAGAACTTTTTGTAGTCGGGAACACCAGTTTCACCTTGAGGGAACTTTTGCCATTCAATCATGGTAGTGGGGTCAAGCTTACTTTCACCAAGTGCCGTAATAAACTGTCCGAAATTCAGTTTCTTTAAAGCTTTGAGTGATCTAAGATGATGTTGAAAAGTATCGTGTAGATTTCTCAATTCTGAAGAGGATCCATCTTTGAGGTACCTTGCTTTGAGTAAGGCTCGTACATGAGCACGATGAATGACTTCTGGTCTGTCGAAGCGTGCTTTCAGTGATTGTATTGCTTCAGGATATGCTTCGGCTGTTGCATCAATGCCTTCTATGGCATCCCTCGTCTTCTGAGTTGTAAGTGATTTCAGAAGATATTGCATTATATAACGTGACGCGCTATCGCGTGAGGCGCGAGCTTGACCGCTCCGCGGTTTATGCAAATTTTCTACCGCTGTTTTTGGAAATTTGAAAGTGAAACATTGCTGGATTGTAAATAAAGTTAAGATCTACCTGGACAAGTGAAAATCCTGTTAATTGATAGTGGGGCTGTTTGGATATTTGTCGAAATAGTCTATTTTTACGGCGACGATAGACTTTTAAAACTTCAGTTGGAACCGTTTGATTATCACGCAAACATACGGCGCACGCGACAACATTACACGTCAGTGCAACAAGCTCAAATCACAATTGGAACTCCGATTAGAACTGTTTTGAATTGAATAATTTGATGCTTTCAATTAATCTTTTAAAAAAAAACAAGATGAATAAATTCATGATTAAGAGCCCTATCTTTTTCATCATCCTGGTTTACTGGTTGTCTGCTTCTGTGGTAACGGGATCCAAAAACGACGATGTGGCCAAAAATATCTTATTTAATCGGACCGTTTCACAATTGCGTTTCTATTCTTATATGGAGGATGAAATCTTGGTTTTTAGTTCTTACGTGGATGATTTTGATTATTTCAACGAACTCAAAGATTTATACAATTTTTCATCCATATACAACTTTTGTCCAGAGTTTACTAATTCATTTCTGGCAAAAGAATATTATACGACTGAAAAAAGTTGGTACTGTGTTATTAACAATCGGACACGCTTTGTTGTATTTATTAAACGTAAATTTATGAGACGAAGACTTCACTATTATACAAATTGTCAGTCGACTTTTAACCCTACCGTACTGTCTGCGTATTTAATAATGTGCGGTGACATCCATCCTAATCCAGGACCAACATCTACAAACACTTCTGTAAACGGAAATTCGTCTCGTAGCAATAACTGTGCTTCGCGTGAACGACAACCCGGGGACAAACAGTCAAACTTGTTCTGTATGCATATGAATGCCAGGAGTTTGAAAAAGAATATCAACACGCAAGGAAACTTATTTATTTCTAACCTGATTAAGTTTCAAGAGATGGTATATTCGGAATCGGTTGATATAATGTTTGTGACTGAAACCTGGCTCAACAGCAATGTTACAAGTAAAGAAATTTTACCTAATGGATACAATATATACAGATCAGACCGGTCGCTGGGACGAACCGGAGGAGGAACACTGATAGCTATCAAACACGGTATTTTCATCAGCTGCAGTCAGGTTACTTCCATTGCTACTACGAATTTGGAGGCAGTTGCTATTCAATGTACCCTACCCAACCACGCAAAATGGCTTCTTGTGTGCTGTTATAGACCACCTGATAGTAACGATATGTCTGATCTTAGATCCTTTGCTGATAACCTATTTCCTAGTTACGACAAGATTATTATTGCCGGGGATTTTAACCTCCCAAATATCTCCTGGACAGATGGTAACTATACATCGTTTGGTTCATTGAGTCAGAATTTCTGCGATATTTTGGACGATTACTTCATGTCCCAACTTTGCCTTACGCCTACGAGAGAATCAAATATTCTGGATCTACTGATTACAAACCAACCTGAACAAGTATCATTTATAGACATCTGCTCTCCAACGGATTTAGGAATGTCTTCTGATCATAAAATTATACAGTTTAAATTTTCCTCGCATCTAAAACCATTCAATCTAATAAACGTTTGGTCTACGATTACAGACGAGCCAACTTTGACGGCCTGCGAAAACGTTTAATAGACATAGACATTTGTTCTCTTGTAACAAATAATGGAACGGAATCTAGTGTTGATGATGACTGGTCAACTTGGAAGGACGCCGTGATGTCTGCTGTGCATGAATTTATCCCTTCCAAATATGTGGACCCTCGTCGCTCACCACCTTGGATAACACCTACCATCTTGCATCATATTCGTAAAAAGGTTACTGCCCGTAAGAGATTCCTTAGCCGTGGAACTGATTATCTTAAGGCGAAGTTTAACAAACTGAGAGCTGAAGTTAAAAAAATGATTCAAAATAGCAGAGAGTCATTTTTCTCGTCATTAGGAAACACTATACAAATCAACCCAAAACGTTTTTGGTCGGTTTTCAAAATCAAGTCAAGTTCTGGAAATATACCCAACTCCGTCACAAGGTCGGATACCAACAATCCTGGGACTAGATTACATGCTAACACACCACACGACATTGCAACAATGTTTAACGAGTACTTTCATTCTGTCTACACATGTTTCTCTGACCAACCCCCGCCATCTCAATCTGGTTCATCATCTCCTTTATCCAGCATCTCATCCATTGACCTCTCTCTAGAAGAAGTATATCAAGCCTTACTGAACTTAGATCCTTCTAAGGCTCATGGTCCTGACGGGTTTCCTTCCCGCATTTTAAAGGAATGTGCCCTCCAATTAGCACCTTCACTTCATTACTTGTTTTCAAAGTCACTCCGTTTATCGCAGGTTCCCACCGAATGGAAATTAGCTAATATAATTCCTCTACTCAAGAAAGGAAACAAAGATCACGTTGAAAACTACCGTCCCATTTCTCTGTTGTGTATCATAAGCAAGACTCTTGAACGTTGTGTCCTCAACCATTTATCGCACCGTATACAGTCCAACATTCATTCGGCGCAGTATGGTTTCGTCAACGGAAGATCAAGTACAGCTCAGTTATTGTCAATTTTAAACACTATTGGGAAAAACTTGGATCAGGGTTTACAAACTGATGTTGTTTTCATGGATATTTGTAAGGCCTTCGATAGCGTTGACCATTCCATACTTTTACAAAAACTTCACGATTTCGGCTTCTCTGGTTCTCTCTTGCTATGGTTTCAAAACTATTTATCAGGTCGCTTCCAACGGGTAACTGTACACGGCGCTACGTCTACGTCTCTGCCAATCACATCTGGAGTCCCACAAGGATCGTTGCTGGGTCCCTTTCTCTTCTCAGTGTACATCAATGACTTACCTAACAACATATCCACTTCCACTGGGGTCGGTTTGTTTGCTGACGATACCAAACTTTACAGATGTGTGCAGAATCCCTGTGATGCATTGGTCTTGCAAGATGATATTCAAGGCCTACTTTGTTGGTCGATAGAAAACCGGCTACGCTTTAACCAATCTAAGTGTAAAGTGTTGTCAATAACCAGAAAGAAATCGCCTTTAATTTATCCCTATAAGCTTGACAATGATCAGTTGTTGGTTTCCAACGCACAGGTTGATCTGGGTATCACCATTAGTCCTAAGCTATTATGGAACGATCAAGTAAATAAAGTACGGTCGAAAGCCAACCAAATGCTCGGGCTAATTAGACGATCTACCGCGGAGATGACTGTTATCAACGCGAGGAGGCTTCTGTATCTACAACTCGTACGCAGCAATTTTGGTTATGCATCCCAAGTATGGTGCCCACAATCCATTAAGTTAATCGAAGACATCGAGAAGGTGCAGAGAAGAGCAACGAAATACATCTTAAATCTTGGGTTTACCACCGATGTCTCGTACATAACCAGATTACATCAACTGGAGTTACTACCAATAACTTATTGGCATGAATATTTGGACATGGTTTTACTCTATAAGTTAATTAACAACTATACCTATATTGATGAGAGTGCTCTACCAATAATAGCTGAATCAGGAATAACCAGACGTGAAACCAACGAAAACGTGATTAGATTTGTAATACCCTTTGCTAAAACTGTAACATACCAGTCTTCATATCTTATTAGAGCGTGTAAAACGTGGAACGTTTTAAATAGTGACCTCCGTAATAGAGATATTGGCCTGCAAGCTTTCAAATCTGGACTAAAGACGTACTACAAATACGCGCTATCTAATATTTATAACTATGACGATCCACGAACTTGGAAATCTGTGTGCGTTAAATGTAAAAGGGCTAGGTCCCTTGATGGTGTTTTAAGTTGTTGTTAGTTGTCTCTTGCACCGATTGTATTTTGTCTTAAATTAGTTCGTTTCGACTGTTAAAATTATTGTAAACGTAAAGTTAATTATGGGGTCGCCGTAATTGGGGAAACCTGTGGCGAACTCCCTGGCGCTATATTAGCCGAATCTCATTAAATCATTAAATCATTAAATCAATTTCATCCATTCCTGAAGCTACTAAAATATACTAGTCAAATAAAACGTAGAAAAATAAAAATGCTTTCATTTCTTCAAATTATTTCATTATATAAACAGGGTGCATGTATAAGAATTTGGCATGTTATTGTGCTTTAAGTATTGGGTATGTATATATATCAATTTAATTTTGCCATCCTAATAAAATTAGGCTTTTAACTATATCGAATGAGATATTTTTGTATCATTGCGTTAAAAACTGAACTAACATGACCAATTGAAAATGGCAGGGTTTTCTGCCGTTCCATGATAATTGCAAACGCGTATGTCTGAGTGTTGAAATTATTCTTTGAAAGAACAGTCAAAATTCAAAAAAATAACAAAGAATAGCAGTCAAAGGATTACTTAAATAATAAAAGTAAAAAAATAATCTATAGTTTTGGCAATTAACTTAAAGAGATTTAAACGAAATTTTGTGGATCTGTGAACCTGAAGTTTGCAGAGAACTTGCAATGCATATATATTGTTTCTCTCATATACAGCGACCTTCATGCATTTGGGCAAAATGTTTGAAAATTCTGAGAATATTCTGCGGCAACAGAGATAGAAAAATTTGGCCATTTCCTATTTGGCCATTTTTATTCGCAATGAGATATCATCAAATGATCTTGGAAAATATATACGAGTGTTTCAAACTCTTGAAATTTAAAAAATAACTAAACACATTTCAGCCGGAAAGAATCTAAAATCCAGGAAACTTCTCACTTTTGACAAAAATATACATGTGTATGAAATGATTTTAAAATGTTCATTTCTCCTCACAACGGCTTCTCGTTCGTGGCATATCATGTAAGTTGGTGACAGGTGACGAAGGCTAAAATTATGAAATTAAGTCAACAATCGAACATGTATATATCGAGCATCTGTTGTTTCCCTGTCAGCAAGATGACTTAAAATATGAAGCGTATTAGTAGGAAAATGAATGCGACTATTAAACATCACCCAAGGACAAATTAACTAAATTTTTGTTAAATATGGATAAAAAATAGTGAATGAGAAAATAGAGTAAATGTTTCTCTCGCTTTAAAATTGAATGCGTACTAAGTCCATTGTATAATTTATGCATGATATACGTTAAGTACGCTCTAATTCTCTAATAAATTCGGGGAGTGTTTGTTGGGAAAATGCTGTACTTGCGCGTTGCTCTCCATTGCTTAGTGCCAGGATTTTTATACACACTTTGGAAGGTAGTGATTCTAATTTATTTTGCGCAACGATCGTGACTGGCAAGTCTCATTAACTTTCACTCTCGTTCGACGGGCAGTTAATGAAGATACGATGCGGTCTGGACACTAAACAGAAGTGTTTGTTATATGTTTTTGTCTGAATTTATGTTAATTTGTGCGCGGTCATGAAGCAACCGTCGATCCAACATTAAAGGATAGCTGAGATGAAACGTGCAACCACGACGAATAATATTTAATGAAGTTGAGACAAAGGATTTGCGCATGGTGAGGTACAATTCAACATCAAACAAAGCTCTTCTTTTCTGTAGCTTTGACGTTTGCCGGGACCAATTAGACTATGCTTTGCCCAGCGCTTAAGTGTGTCATTGTGATCACAGGCGGTCCAATCTTACCCTGTGTTATTAATTTATTACGTTATATCTTTATATAAATAGTATATTGAAAATCATTAGAAAATCCTGTGTTATTACCGATTTATTACGTTATATCTTAATAGTATAATGAAAAGCACTTAATGTGTTTCCTGAAAGATTTTAACGAGAACCGGCCAAGATTGGCGTTGACAAGAGGTTAACGGCCATAGTTGGGGCACAGGCGGCCCAGACGCGTATCAGTGTATAGTAAATATATCATTATAAAATATACTAAACAATAACATTTGTAATGAATTTTATATTTTAAAATCATATTTACTTGCCTACTTTGATTGTATGTGATCGTCTTTTATTTCTGAGCGACTTTACATTCGATGCCTGCGACTGCCTTCATAAGTGATAGTATTGAAAGCAAAGGCTAACGATTCCAGTTCTCAAACAGCCGACACGAACAATTCAAATCGAAAAATATCCCCTTCAAATTGCTTTGTTCCCGGTAAAACTTCGCCAGCGTATAGAATAAACACCCATCTTCGAACATACAAGGCAATATTAACACGTCCTGTAATTTTTGCAATGGATTTTTAGCGAAATGTTTCGAGACTAAAATTCTATGGAACTTAGAAAGACCGATAATTACTACGGCGCCTACTTGGCCACCTAGCCTCCTATACCGTTTGGATTGTCAGGGGGGGATTCAAATAAAAAACACCTATTTCCGGCAACAGCCAGCCAATCAACGCCGCGATACCGACTTGTTTACAATATTTGAAATCTGATATTGCAATTTATCAACAACAAAACTCTTTCGATCGATTGATCGTATAGTATAAAATAGAAAGAGAGCTGTATACGATCGAAAGAGTTTTGCTGTTGATAAATTGCAATATCAGATTTCAAATATTGTAAACAGTCGGTATCGCGGCGTTGATTGGCTGGCTGTTGCCGGAAATAGGTGTTTTTTATTTGAATCCCCCCCTGACAATCCAAACGGTATAGGAGGCTAGGTGGCCAAGCAGGCGCCGTAGTAATTATCGGTCTTTCTAAGTTCCATAGAATTTTAGTCTCGAAACATTTCGCTAAAAATCCATTGCAAAAATTACAGGACGTGTTAATATTGCCTTGTATGTTCGAAGATGGGTGTTTATTCTATACGCTGGCGAAGTTTTACCGGGAACAAAGCAATTTGAAGGGGATATTTTTCGATTTGAATTGTTCGTGTCGGCTGTTTGAGAACTGGAATCGTTAGCCTTTGCTTTCAATACTATCACCTATGACGCAGGCATCGAATGTAAAGTCGCTCAGAAATAAAAGACGATCACATACAATCAAAGTAGGCAAGTAAATATGATTTTAAAATATAAAATTCATTACAAATTTTATTGTTTAGTA